ATAAGTCAGATGTTGAATTACCAACTCAGCGTGACTGAGCTGGGTTGTTTAAAGTAATTTAAACACTTTTACAACTCACCACAAGGACTAGAAATGCATGTTCTGTAGTTCTGCATTTTATTCCCGTTGCAGTTTTTAACAGGTTTAGGCAAGGTAACACACAGTGTCAGCAAGTCCAGGGATGTCCCTTGAAAATCTCATATTGAGTGGGAGAAAACACTGGGTGGTAATCAGTGTGATCAAGTTCCCCTTCCAAATCATTACAATTGTAAATCAATGCCTTATAAAGCAATCTGTATCATAACTGTATCATAATTCCATTTTGGAATTACAAATAGTTAATGTTATTTGGGAAGTACAGATTTCCCTGTTGCAAGTTGTTTGTGAAACAGCTTCTCCTTAAAATAGTGTTCTAGGCGCAGGAGAAAGATAAAAGCAGATCTTCCCTGTCCTCCAAGACAGAATTAGTTTACCAAGCCACCCTTGATCCTGATTTAGCACTGCAACTCATGCCATTTTACAAGGGGTGCTCAATCTGTATAGTACAGACAGAGAAATCAAGAGAAAGGAGCAAATATCAGGCACACACAGATAAGGACAAGTGGAAAGGTCTGTCTGTTTTACATCTTCATGTAGAGACATCTGTGACCCGAAACATGCTTTCAGAGTGAAATCCAAATAGCTCACATTGAGAAGAACGCATTAAAGAAAGAGAAACATCGGCAGCAAAACAGAGCTAAAAGCAAAATATTTGATTATTCTCAGGACGTGTGTGGAGTTAAATTTTACGATCAACTTTCAGGACTTTCCCCATGCAGAATTCAAGGAGACTGACCTTCTGTCTGTCCTAAGCCTTGTCATTTCCTGCTAGTTCTCATAAAATAGCAGTATCCTTGGCAGTGTTCTGAAGAGATTTCCTACCTGTTTCCACACACACACACACACATGGAAAAAGAACAAACAGTTTCTTCTGGGTTAAGTGACAATTAAATGGTGTGGTCAGTTGTATGGTGGCATGTGCTTAAGTAGGTGTGTGACCGCTGTTCCCTTGGCATTTGGAGCAGTCTCATTTGATTCATGCTTATCTTAGAAAGCAGGAACATCTTAAAATAAAAACTCGGTGGAGCCAGTAGGGAACTAGCTGGCAATGCATGCTTTAAATATGCTCAGGTTCTGCAAACATCTTGTGAGCAGGGTTACTCTTAGTGAAGAGGACTATTTATGTCCATAAAGTTAGGTGTAACGTCAAGTGCTCAAGCAAATGAAACATATAAAACACCAGCACAGGCAGCCTCAAGTGCAGCGCGTGTATTCACTTGTGGGAGGGGTGGAGGTTGATGGGCTTGGTTTTTAATAATCAGCCAAGAAATTAAGTGCTGGAGGGAAAGAGCAGAAGGGGCAGAGGCCCAGGTCCCAGCCCCTGTAACACACTGCAGAATAAGCGTGTCGTGACAGTCAGGGGGGAATTATCTCGTGCTGCTTCCTTGCTGCTCCATCCTGACAGAGGGGCAGGCAGGGAAAGAAGAAACGTGTGTGCTAACAGATCCTCACAACAAGGAGATCCTCACTGCAGAGCGGCTTATTGAACTGAGAGGAAACAGAAGTTACTGCCTTGAGTTAGGGAGCATCAATCTGTGACCTGCTGGTTTATGTTACTGCAAAATGAATGCTAAACAAGTGTCTATGTTAAAAAACAGAAAGTCTACCTAGAAGCAATGTACTCAAAGCAATTTAACTCTTCATATTTTAACAACAGAGCAATTTTAATTTATCTTGAAGAAGCCAATCTAAGGCTTCAACCTGGTTAAACATGGAGGTGTAAGCATATTATTTAATAGCCCCTTCCGCCTTCAAGAAATTATTATCTTGTTATGCTTATGTGCTTTCCTGCACAGAACTCTCCAAACCTCCCACTGCTGTTCTCACTGCGACGTGTAGGGCCACAGAAACCAGTAGTTCTTCTGATCTTGTTTCTTGTTTTTATTCCCATTCAACCCATATTCTACCTCTTACGTAAATAATCAGTATTTTCCATAAATTCTGAATGACCAGGTCCTGTTCAAATGTCAGAGATGCACCCTGACACCGAGCAAAAATTGAGAACCCTGTGGCAGTCGGCCTATTACGCAGTTATACTGCTCCAGGATCTATACGAGCTCCCATTAGGTTTGCAAATGAGATTTTGACTGCTTTGACTTACAATGCAGGACAAGTAAGTGCACACTAATGGCGGAAAATATACCAAATGCATGGCTGCACCACGGCAGCAAATGCACGCAGTATCAAATAATAATCACACAATTTGTCACTGCCCCTGTCCCTGTACCCGTACTTCTGTCCAGAGGAATTGCTCATGTTCCATGCAGAGCCACCTGCCTGGCACAGCCCCGTTTTGAGTTTTACCGTGCTACAGCTGGGCATGCATGGGGGTGGAGCGGTGCTTAATGCACAGCTTTTCCAAAGCCCTCGCTGGGATGGGAAGGACCAGTGAATGGGAATTCCCAAGGACAACACTTGTATTTCTCTCCAGTGAAGGGTCAGGGCACAACGAAGGTGCTGCACACGGGGGTCAGTACAACGCAGTGGGCACTGCAAGAAAACAAGATATTGGTGTCTTGCAGGAGAAGGATGCCATGCCCAACGTGAGGGAGGAGAAGAGGTGCATGCCCTCCCCTGGAGCTGCAGTCAACCTGCCCCCTGGACAGCGGTCAGCCCCCCAGAGAAATCACCTGAGGGTCAGGGCAGGTGTTGAGGGAAGAGGAAGCAAGACCTCTTCTTTGAAACCCTACTGGCCTCTGATCCAAAACCTTTAGGGAGTATCACGATACCACTTCGTGCTACCAATGTCAAACAGTGCCACTTCTCCCAAGGGCTCCAGCACACAGAAATTAAGAGAAGTTGCCAAATCCTTGCAGCACCACTTGTCGCTTTGCGTCGCTGCACGTGATTAGGCATCTGAGACTGGACACACATCTTCTGCCAACCACTGGTGGAACAGAGATTCAGGTCCCACAGGCTGATGGCAGTTGTGTGACTGCAGCGCTGGGAGACTTGAGAGCTCTACAGATTTGGAGCTTCTTCCTTCCTCATTCTGCCAGAGCTGGATTTGCTAATCTTTTGGCGGTAACACCATGCACATCCTCTCCTGGCACTTTTCGGAAAAAGGATGTAGGTGGTATTTGTGTTTATTACTGAAGACACTGGTCATCAAGGTGATACATATAGACATGTATATGTACAATATATACACATGTGTATCATGTACCCAAAGCATAACTTGGATTTTGTCCTTCACACATTTAAAGATATCAGCTGCAGGTGGAAGATTATATTTAGGGTCACGTTTTATAGACAGATACTACTTTGTATTCTCATCAAATAATTTAAATGTCTGCTACAGAGGTGGTTAGCCTCTTGCAAGGAGGTCCATGCACGTTATGCTCAGGTCAAACATGGGAAGCAGCCCCTGGGGAAGCGTTTTGGCTGTCCTGCACTCACCTGCCCACCACAAACCCAAACTGTCATTTGGCTGCGCGACGCAGACTTGTCACAGAACAACGAGAACAAAACAAAACTGAAAGTTAAAAATTAACAAACTTAAACCCTTCAAAAAAAAAAAAAAATTAAAAAAATAACACAACAAACGACCCGTCCGGTGCAGCAAATCCCTCCTCCCCCCTGTGGAAAGCAATCGGGTCTCCCCCGGTGCCCGGCGGCAGCGAGGGATGGGGACCGAGGGGAGGCGGCAGCAGCTCGGGGGGCACGGGCTGAGCCCGCGGCTGCCCCCGGTACCGACCCCAGCCCCCAGGGCAGCCCGCACCGGGGGAGGCACCGAGAGCTGCCCCCGCCCGCTACACCCGGCGTGGGGCAGAGGCAGCCGAGGGGGAGAAGAGTTTTAAAAAAACAGCCAAAAGCACAAAACCACGCAACCCGGCGGCGGGCTCCCGTGCCGTTATGGCCTCCCCGCGGCCGTGCAGGTGCCCGGGGCCGGTGCTCGCCCCCGGCCCTCCTCCCGGCCCCTCCTGGCCCGGCCCGGCCCGGCCGCCCCTCACCTCATGGCCCGGCTCTGCGGGCGCCGCCCGCTGCCCCAGCACCGGGCCGGGGAGCGCAGCGGCGGCTCCGGCTCCGGCTCCGGCTCCGGCTCCAGCGGAGGCTCCGGGGCTCGTCCCGGCCCCCGGGAGACGCCTGGCGGCGGGGCGGCGGCGGAGGGGCCGGGACTGGGGGAGCGGAGGGGGCCGGGCGGGACAAGGCGCCTGCCCCCTTCTCCTCCCCCCTCGCCTCTCCCCTCCTCCCGGGGGGGTGGGGGGGGGTGTGCTGGGCCCTGCTCAGTTTGGAAAGTTTTGGGGTTTTGTTTTTTTTTTTAATAGAAATATCGCAGGTTTACGGCCGCGGGGATTGTAGTGGGCAGTGAGCTGTCGGGCCATATCTGCCTTCTGCCTTGGACCAGTGGAGCTACCCCGGCAGTGAGAAACTGCACTGGAGCACAGGATCTCAAGGCACTAAGCGCTGTCACAGAGGTGTGAAGGTGTCTCCTGCAGGGCAGGACAGGAATCACAGCCAGTGCTGCCCATTGCTGCATGCTGCCCTCAGAGCAGTGCAGCTCCTGCGGGCCCCCAAGGCTGTGGGCATTAAGGACGGGTAAGGCGAGATTCATATTTAGCACATGCATATTAGCAAGCGTTTTCATGGGTGTATTTTCCATATCCATTCTCTCCTCAGCTCTGAAACCTGTGGGTTCTGTCAGCAGCAAACCGACCGTGAATTTTGGGCTCGAGACTGCTCCCAGCCTGTCACTGTGCTACACAGAAACGTACAGTCTGCTTCAGTCCATCAGCATCAAGAGGATTTCAAGAGGATTTCCAAACTGAATCAGAAACAAGCAATCTCAATGTCTTCCCTACTTCTCAAACAATTGCTGAAGTAAACATGAAGCTAAACTGCTGAGCTGGTTGTTGGAGCAATGCTTTGGCTCTGCTTTGCAGAGAACACAAGAGATGGAAACCACGTGGACACAGTTTTATTGTCACCAGCAGCTTTTGGGAAAGACATGCAGAGACAAGCAGCCTCACTGGGTGTGCATGCAGCTGTCTGGGGCTTTTACTGACCACCAAAGTACCCTGCTGGGTACCTGACAGCTACAGCTGGTCCTTTGACCAAAATGAACGGTGTGCCTGGTTTCTGGTGGTTCCCGGGGAGAGCACCCACAGCCTGCATCCTGACCCAATGTGCCACTGATCAAGTTGCTTATTAATTATGAAGCCCAGAATCCCACGATCTCACCGAGGACTCTGCTGGGTGACCACTCTTGGCTCCTCGCGCTGTAAACATATGTGGGCTTTGCAAAAGGCCAATGCACACCCAGGGCCCAGCACAAAGCCCCTGATGCCAGATGAACACCCTGCCACGGGTCAGAGCAGTGCCCGCCTGCACCTTGTCGTGGTGGGGTGGCTGCAGCCTGTCCTGCACTGTAGTGCCAGATGTACTGTCCCCATGTCCCTTGTGTGATGTTGCTGGGGCTGTGAGCAGGTACCAGGGATGAGGAGCTCCTGCTGAGAACAGGGATCAGGGAGAGTTGCTCTGAGGAGACGGTATCATGAGGAGTTTGATGAAGTTTCTGCTCCATGGCTTTCCGGTTCCATAAGACATAACCTATTACAGCAAACTTAACCTTGATACTCCCCAGTCACATTAGGACACCCTTCTGTTCATGTGGAAACCAGCTCATCACTTACCTCAGAGTAGTGACTGTATCCACTGTGTTTGATTTTAATGTAAACACCAAAAGTAAAGCTCCATTCTAGAACTGGAGCTTCTTCCCACCTTCAAATAGCCCTCCTCATTCTGTGCTAAGGCTGTTATTGGTCCAACCCCCCTCACATTCACTTTGTGTGAAGGTTTTTAAATTCTCAGCGCCCCAAAGTTCCCTTCCAGCCTTTACAATTCAAGGCAGAATTCATCACCTAGCCTTTGCCCCTCTTTCCTTTCCTCCAAATGAAGAAACAGGCAATAAATAGTAAATGACACCATCAATTTCCTCTCCAGGATAGTATGCCTAAATGGTACAGAAGTATCATGGCTATACATTAAAATCAGAACAAAGACATAAATAGAGCACATTGCAGTATGGTTCTAGAAACCTGTAAGAAAAGGGAAGTCTGTAAAAACAGAAAGAAAGTATTCTCAACTTTCTTTCAAGGCCACACTGGCTAAGTTATTTCTGTCTAAACTAGGTCTGCACAAATACAACAGAAGGATAGAGCCTCTGCAGCAACCTGAATGGAATAGAGAGGAGATAATCTTGCTCAAGGATTTTTGCATGATTCAGCTCCTGGTGTTTGATAAAGAATGCGTATAAGTCAGCTACAAGGCTCATGTGTTCTTGGTTCTCATCGGCGATGTCTCCTCTTTTCCTCATCCCCCTCAGCACGAAAGCCAACCAGCAATTACAGCCTGTTGGTAGGCAGAATGGAGGTACCTGTGGAGGATGAGTGAGGTAAGGGAGTTCAAAGATGAAAGAAGGGGTTGAAAGAGATGGGAGAGGCAAGAGACAGGTTAGTTGTGGGAATGACAGTAACTGTCACAGTTTTCACTCACTTGTGAATTCTGGGTGAGTACAAACACATGTAGAGATATCCAACATGAAAGGCATTGCTTTTCAATTAAAACAATAAAAAAGAAGTGAAGTCAAAAAGAGCAGGTGTTAACATCCAAGAATAGAGGCTGGTGAACAAAGCCTCTCATCCTGCCACCAGACTGTTGGTTGTTCTCAAGAAATGGCATCTGAATGAATGGCAATGAATGCCTACCATGTCTGAGAAAAGGAATACAGTAATGACACCTTATTAATGACATCTTACTCTCTCACAAATATCTCATCATCTGTCTTTGGGACCCTTGCCAAGGGATCAACTGATCACACCTCCCAGCCCTCTGATACAATCTCCAGAGCTTCACACAGCAGGCAGCACACAAACGGGAGGGCACACACGTGTGCATGCACCCACCCTCACCCCGTGGTGTCTGTGAAACTGAAGTGCTGCAGGGTGACCCAGAAAGCCCAAACCCCAGCCCTGGTGGCAGTACACAGGTGGTGCACACCCTCAGCAAGTGCCTTTAGTACAAACTGCAGCACCAGAAGGCTGCAGGACCCTGAACATGGACAAGGATGATAACAGCAGCTCTAAAACCAGAGTTACTCTCCCCAGAAGGGCAGGTGCTTCTGGGTCCTCTTCCCAGCCCCCTCAAAAACCAGGCACAAGGTTCCTGCTGGCATTCAGCTGTGGCTGGTGGGCCCGCTGCAGCACACAGGAATTGGGAACAGCAGCTTGCAGGAGCTGGTGCCTCCCCTACTCATGTTCACATGGGGACTCGGTCACAAAAGCTCCAGGCACAGCGAGCACAGACTGGCAGCCTTCCCCTCTTTATGTTTCTAACCCAAAGTACAGAACTTCAGATCTCCTTGTTCACCAGGAGAATGCCATCAGCCAGTGTTTCACCTTCCACCACCTCTCTGGTGCTGTGAGGTGCAACTTAGAAGGCTTTGGTTTGGGAGAAGTGCTGGAAAGAAAGAGTAAATGGCATTGCAGCACTGATGCACATTTATGAGCAGGAATGTCCCACTTGTAAAGCTGCCTGGGGAGCAGCCAGGGATGTGTGGCAGTGCAGGCGCCTTCTGTCAGTTGTGTCTGGTACCACTGTGGAGGAGCAGCATGGAAGGGTGGTTAGAAGGAAATTTGAGGCTGGGCTTAGCGCGAGGCTCCAGCCCCTCACCAGTGCTGCATTTCAAAGTAAGCAAAATAAGGACATCTGTTCTGAAAATTTTATCAAAGCACTCGCAGAGGCTGCTAGGATGCTCTCAATACCCTTCTCATGTCCTTGCATGGGTTGCAGGACAGCATTAGTTTTCAATTGTAAATGTCCCAGTTTTTTGATGCTTTGGATTGTGTAGAAGAGGATAGTATTTCACTGCCACTCATTACTCTAGTAACCTCCCTTGATTCTTTCAGATTGAAATCAGCAATGCCAATATTTGGAAAACAACCTTTAATGCTCTACTGTGGCTTAAGCTCATCCTTCAGAAAGGATGAGCAGCACGACACTTGTAAATAGGTAGGACGATGACTTGCCTCCTTGTTACTCAGTTTCCAGGTCCTCTGTTTCTGCTTGATCGGGTTCCTCTAACTGGAAAGAGATGCGACGTGAAAGCTGTTCCTCAGCAACAGGTTGGCTCGCTCTCTTCACTTGCTGTGACCGGCAGGTCAGCAGCTTCTATCTCATCAGCCTCCTGCGGGGCTGCATCTATGGGCTCAGGCTCTTCAGCAGGGGCCTCGGTCTGACCAGACTGAGGTTCCTGGCTAAATGCATCCAAGCGTTTTTCAACCACTGTACGAATCAAGGCTGAAACAGAGAAAAATACCATTAACGAACGCAGTGTAAAAAACCTATAATTTGAAATTATTTATATGTTACTGACCTATGAATTCTTATGCAGGAAAAGGAAAAAAAGAAAAGAAATAACACTAAAACTAAAGAATACTTGAATAAGAAACATCTTCCCTGTAGCTGTAGCCTAATTGAAACCAAATGAGCAGTTTGCACTGAAAGCAGTGATTTGAAATGGCTCACGTGGATTGCCTTGTTCATTTCCTCACTGTTGTCTGGTCACTTCTCAAGCAGGTCACCCTGCCAGGAAAGTGGACCAGCCAGGTTGCGTACAGTGTGATGTTTTTGGCACAGCGTAATACTGGAACTGTGGGAGTCATCAGAAAGATTTTCTCTTTCTGAAAAGCAGATGTAAAACATCTGCTCTTTATTATTTTTGATACTTAGCCCTTGTAGTTTTTTTTTTTAAACATTATACGTCTTCCAAATCAATGAACACAACAATAGCTCAACACTCACTTTGTAATACATAATTTAAATATGGCAAATAACAAGGCCAACAATGAAGGAAGAAGGTGTTAATATAGAAGACAATGTACAGGTGCCAAAAGGAATTCCATTGTTAATTCTTGGGTTGAGTTTCGCAAGTAAAAGAAGGAATGGTCATCAGAGGGCAAACACAGCCACCTTAGACTGTGGGTGCTTCCCTTGTAGTTCTTTTTTTTTTTCTTTTTTTTTTCTTTTTTTTAATTGGATGGTGATAAGATAAACCATTTAAGTAGCTTCTACATTCAAATAGGTTAAAAATGTATCCTTAGAGATTTCTCCTACGCTTTTGCATAAGATGGAGAAGAAGCCACAATCTCAGCTGCGGCTGTCTGCCTCTACAAAACTTGTTTGAGAAAGCAATCCACAGTTCCTTTTGCAGAGTTAATGTTTATTCAACAATGCGTGATTGGGTATAAGCCAGGATACACAGAGGATAAGTAGCAAAACAGGGGCTGCTGGTATTACTTATTAGCCTGCTCCAACTGCTCTGTGCTTCTAAGAACTGGTGCAAGACCAGGGTTACTGGCAGTAAAAATTAAACAAAGATTTAACAGGAATATGATGGATGTTCTCATCAAGACTGCATTCTAGAGCAACATTTTCCTTGGGATGTTTATTTAGTGGTCACATACAATACTTCTTACTTAACAGGAGAGAAAATTCCCTCTCTTCTGAAGAGCTGCTTTAAGAATCCTTGAGTAAACATATAAGCACATGTATCATAGGATAAAATACTAACAGGCCAGATGTGATTATCCAAACTGGACCTCAACAAAGGAAATTCAGGGGTCCTGGTTAAACTGAACATTAACCCAGAGGAAATGAACACGATTGTAATTTAAACCCAAAATCACAGCCAGAGGTAAAACCACAAGAATAAAGACAATGCAAGTGTAAGAAGTGGTTTGACCTAGGGCCACCAAGGTGGACACACACTCATCATAATTTTGTGCTTCTACACAAGACAGAGTTTATATCGTCCAGGTATTCAAAGCAGCCTCTGAAGACTGTCCAATAGACAAACCTGCATACTTAGCTTGAATTAGACTGAAAGACAGCAGAGAGTGATATTTTAAATCTATTTCAAAAGCAAGGACATGATTATTGACTGCTGAAGAAGTAAGCCCTTGTTTTGATGAAAAGTGTCAGTCACCTGACTTCTCTGTCAGTCATGGCCAAAGTTATCCTTCTCTTCTTTCATTTTGGATGAAAGGAGTAGCACATTACTCTGTAGCTCAGGGAGTTCACACAAATGCACTAACAGACTTTCATGTTATACATGTGACTCTAGAAAGGGTGGGCTTTTCTGGTCCCATTGGCAAACTCAGGCATCACACAGGAAAACAACACAGCAACGATGGCCAGTGTAACACACATGAAAAACAAGTTTTTATAGCAGATAAAAGAATTGGCATGCTTTAACTATTCTTATTCTGCCAGAGGTGTTGTGTCTTCCAGTAGCAACACATCTCTAACAGTATAAAGCCAGTAGTGCAGCATGTCTGACACTTCCAGTATTTCAGCTGAGAATCAATTATCCAGATGGCTGCCACAGTGGTTTTCCCAACTTTAAAGACATATTTAAATGGAGAACAAAAACAACAACAACAAAACAAACAAACAAAATAACACACTTGGCAGCTGGAGTTCTTCCTAATTCCTTCTTTAGTCCACACTGACCCTGTAAATGTCATATTTGTTCTGACTGGGGAAAAAACAACCACAAACAAGCAGCCCAGACTATATTCCAGGATTTGGTAACTTACAGTCAAGCATCATCCTTCCCAGAACCTTCTTCTCTAGTGTTTCTTCCACTTCTGTCATCAGCCATGGCAGGAATTCTGTCTCAATATCTGTATGAATTTGGCAGGAGGAAAGCAAGAAAAAGTATCTGTTTATTAAGGATGAACAACAGGATCTCAAGGCTGTTTTTCATTTGCTGTGATCGTTAAGGGATGCACATCCTTGCCAGAAGGCACTTGCTTTGCAAGAGCCAGATGAAACCCTCTCAGGCATTACTGGGTGTCTTATCTCCTCCCTCCTTTACTGAGGTTCCTCCTTATTACGGACCTGAACCAGAGTCTTCTCACCTCCATTGATTTTCAAAGGGGCCTGGCACCCTCGAGCGGCAAGCACAAACGAGCAGCACAGTAATGTTCCAGTCAGATGAAAATAACTATCCTGAACAAGTCAGGAGAATAACATTTCCTGCTCCGTTTTCCAACTACATCTGGCTTCTGGTCTGCTGAAAATGTTTGTTCCCTCTGACTAAGGAGCTCTTGCTTCCCCCAGTCACACTCTTTGTATGCAGTGATCCCAAACCCTGCCCTGCTTGAAGAATACACTCATTTCTGCATTTGCTCCATGGCTCCATTCCCAAGCTGTGGTCTGGGCATCTGTGCAGGGACTGGGGAAGTGGGATGCAGCAAGGTAGCCCATAAAAAATGCTGCTGACTCTAAAAGCTTGGAAGTCACAGAGATACAACTCCAAAATTATTTTCAGAGCCTAATTCTTATTGACTATTTTTCCTTTGCTTTGATAATCATTAACGAAGATTCAGAATGATGTCTGTCCTATCAAAATACATTTAATACAATTTGGACCCCTCTTTCTTTCTCTAACAATCCTAACCACCCATTTATTTCTCTCAAATCAAAAGCACCTCTTCTCATTAAAGCAAAACTGTCAGCTCTTGCTTATTCTTGATAACTTGTACAGGTGAACAATAATGTTTCTTTTTAAAAAACTCTGAGTTTGAAAACTATCTGTGCAGCCACAAATGTAAATGAATGAAATCTTATTATATTATTCTAAATAATAGGACAATAAACTGTATCCTAAGGCTGTTTTGACTTTCATATTACTCACTTCACATAATAATAAAAAAAAAAAAGACAAACCTCTTTCTATAGGATCATAGAAAAACCCACTCTCACGAAGATTGCTGAAGACTGAAGGAATGAGATCAGTCAAGTAGCGTTTAGCAAATGCCCAAGCTGCAATTTTCTCTGTCGTCTCTTTCTGTTTCTGTAGCATTTGAATGTGCTGGAGTTTGCGACGTTCCTGTCAAGACAGTATGGCATGTAAAACTTTCAGCCCTTTAGCTGCTACTCCTTTGATCCAGATTTTGAAGAATGATCACAGTGTGAAACTCATAAATAGTAAAAATAAACAAGAGTACCAATACTTAAGACTTCTAAGCTAAAGGCCAGTATTTGTGGCCTCCTACTTTCACAAAAACTCCTCATAAAAAAAAGAGTGCTTGAAAGCTGTTGAGGGATTTTTTGAAACAGCAAAAATCCCACGGCTTGCTGTAGCTGAGCAAACCAAGCTACCAGGGCAACTATGAGAAGTTCCCATGACAGTGTTCCCACATCACCCAGTTGAGGAATTCAGAAAAATATTGTTACCAGTAGCTGGCTTCAAGGACAAGGTCTATGTGACTGCTAATCACAAGGGGGTTGTTTTCTTGCAGGTGGGGTTGTTTTCTTGTAGTTGTTTGTCTGAGTGCTTTTGACCAAAAATCTTGTGTGAAACACTGTCCGCCCCTGTTAAGTTCACTATAAAAGTTAGGCTATTCAGGCAATAAAATGGAGCATGATCTGACTCTACTGGTGTCTGTCGTACTTTCGGCCATGCTTCCTGCAACGGAAAGCAAGCCTGTACTCAATCTATGGAGTACCACAAGGACTAGAGGATTCCTTTGGTGTACCTTTTTAAATTTTGTCAAGTCTGAAAAATAAGGGACCTTGTGGCCTAAATGAAATCTTTCTCTGATACTGTATCATGCACTCATTTCGACTCATTACTTTGTTATTGCAGATAGAGCTGAATGTTGGTCTAGGAATGAGCTGAGGTTGGGTGATTTCCTAAACTTTTCACCTTTTCTATTTTATATCCTATTTGTCATAGGAAAAAATTAAAACTTAGATTGGTCCAGGAAAATATTCAGAACCCCAATATATAAGGCCTGTTGAAGACTTGCCATTGCTGTTTATTCCTACTTGCTAGATACTACTAATGCAGTTTTGCATTTGGAGATCTTGAGAGGTATGTGAAAAGTGAAAGTCTAGGAGGTGCCTCTTATTTTCAAGCATTCTGACTATCCATTTAGCAGTTATCGTAAGAAAGTCTTGAGTAACAGCTGCACCAGGTACAGAGGAAAATGCTGTCAGGTTTGGCCTCCTGATCAGGTGTCTGAGTACGCCAGGTTGCTTGAGTATGACTGCTCCAAAGGAACAGAACAGCACGGTAGTGCTGGCGCATGAAAGCAAACAGTGCAGCTGCTTAGAGGAATATCAAGCTTGACAATACCACCTCACATTCATCCAGCTTACTTCACAGCTTGTCTTTCAGTACTGGAAGTGTTTTACTCTTGCCTGATGGGCACCCAGGCAGGCCTGTTTTGCTCCTCGTAAGCCTTACCTTCTCCTCCCTGTATCGCCTGTCCTGCTCCTCCAGGCGCTGCACCTCCGCCAGCTCGGCATTGCGCAGTTCCGCGTAGGCACGCTGGTGTGCCCACAGCTGGGCCAGCTCTTCTTCCTCCATGACTTCCAGCAAAGCTTGCTCCATGGTCTTCCCAACCAGCACTTCCAGGATCGGCTCGACTTCAATGTCAAAGTCAAACAGCTGGGGATGGGGGTCAGCAGGACAGAGATAAATGACCCCTGAGCACAATCCCTCGCAACACCTCAGCAAGGAGCAAAGGAGCATGAACAAAGCACTTGTGCTGAAGGGGGTGCTGAGAAGTGCAGCTGGGGGCCCAGTGTCAGCTAAGGCAGGAAGCGTGAATGCCACCCGGGATTAAGTGATGAGTGGGCTGGAGTGAGGCACCACACCCCCCCGAACTGCAGCCACACGGGGCACTGCCAGGGAGAAGCAGAGCTCTCACCTGCACCCTACTGCTGCTCCCTTCTGTCCTTCCAATCCCCTCTCAGGCTATTCTGCTCTATTTCTGCAGGGGAGAGCATTCTCAGCATTGTAGTTCCTAGCTGAAAGCATCAGAACCAGTGCACATGGAGAAGCACTGTCCTTAGTTTTGCATGGTTTCTTTTGCATGTTCTGTGAGGAGAATATTTCACTCCTGATTTTGCCTCAATTTTGCCTCAAACTTGTTTCATATAGGAGACATGTTTTGACACTACCTGTGGACTCCACTTTGCTTCATACCTCTCCTTCTTCTATTTGTGTGGCCACATCTCTTCCTGTTTTGGCTGGTATGAAGAAAGGAGTGGGTGGTCTGTCCAAAAATGCATCTGTTTGACATTCCGTATCAACCTCTATTGTCCGGTCACTAATCTCTTCCAAATACAGCTCTAGAAATAAAAGCATAATGAATGCTCTAAATAGGATTCTTTTTTTATTTTAAGTCTCAACTACTCCTTATTACTGTACAGGGTGAATTATATCCAAATAGTGCAGTAAAATGTCTTCCATAAAGCAAAAAAAAAAACAAAACAAACCAAACAAACAAAAAAATTGACCTAAAGCATAGATCAGTTTGCTGCACAGGCCATCTGAGGACACGTACTTCGTAATGTCTCCTGTGCTTCTTGGAAATGAATCCTAGAAACACACTTCTATCACCAGGTTTCAGAGGAGTGTCTAGACCATTTCAGCCCACCTTGCAGAATAAACATTTCTTGGTAGATGTAATGGGATATGGCAATTTCAAACAGGGACAATGATTATATATCTACTAACCATTAATATTAAAAAAAAACAAACAAACAAAACAACACATTTTTCTCCACTGTATGAAAAACACTGTGTCTGTTGGGTTTAAAGAATGATTGTCTACTTCTGGCCCCACCAGCACTGACCTTGAGGTAACCACGTGTTACATCTGTAACAGCATGCACGTAACTTGAATTATACCTATCCTCTACTACAGAGATAAATAGCCTGGTTCATAAAATGAGGTCTGTGGAGGACTTAAGATTATCAGCATTAGTCAATGGGAAGGATAAGAGACCAAGATACCCACACCAGATGGCTTTCTTCTGCATTTTTCAATGGTGAAAAGCTGCTGCATACATCAGAGGTGGTATAGGAGGTTCAGTGGCACTGGGGGACAGGGAACATTCACAAACCAAAGGCCATATCTGATTAGCACGTGCCACAGCTGTTTGACCATTTGTAAGTCAGCCCAATCTGAAATGCTTTTCAGAGGAATATAGCAATGCATTACACTTACCCCATGATTACTCCATATTTTGGCTTTGCAACAAATAAAATTATTTTCTCACATATAGGGCAGTCTCTTATTCTAAATTAGGGCCAGCGCCCATCCTCTTTCTCCTACCCCTTCCCCATTAACTTTCAATAGTGATCTTATTCCTAGATATGACTGCATTCTTTAGAAAAATAAAAAATAAAAATTAAAAATAATGATTAAAAAAACCCACACCTCTACCTGTGGCATATTCCAAACATCTCTGAAGATAGTAAAAAACAAAAGAATAAATGAAGCAATGTACGCTGAGAACTGAAAAAGAGAACCTCTGCAAAAATGTCACTCTATTTAGCCAAGTTTATAAATAATTAGATAGTACTAAAAACAGGGGGGTTATAGTGGTGAGGCTTAGAGAACCTTAGCTGTCTGTGAATCTACTGATTGCATCATCCACTTAGTAAGTGAATATAGATCAGCAACTTTTTTAAAAATTTGATCTGAAAACAAAATCCGTCCTTTTACCTGTCTGCACGTGAACATGCTCTCTGCCTTCCACAGGCTCAGGTGTTAGCTGCACTTGCTCTTTTGCTCTCTTTCTAGCCAGTGCTTTTCTCCGTGCTTCTCTCTGCCTTTGAATCTCAAACAGATCAAGATGGGTACACTGGACAGGGATGAACGTAAAAAATACATTACCATACAGTTTGTACTTGGAAATATTACTAATTTCTCTCTGTTGGTAAATGAACATTGTTGTTTGTTTTTAACACAAGAAGCATAGTATTTCAGATTCGCTTCTCATGGTAACTGACCCTACAGTGTCAGCTCCCTTTAAGACTGTAGGGCATGAAACTAATAAGGTCTGGTGGCTACCTATAGGCATGTACTAACGGCATCTCACACCAAGAACAATCAACTGCTATTTGGAAGTGGATATTATATACAGAACTTTGCAAGATAAAGAATATTAAAATGTTATGTTCTTGTTCAGTTGAGAGTATCTAGGTGACCCTTTAAGAAGGTCAAATGGACTTAAGTCAGTTGTTTGTTAGATAAAAGATCTTTATTGCTGATGAAGGAAAAGAAGCCCATACTCACTTTTAAATTCAGTACGGTGTTTGCCAACTGAAAGGAAAACACCTTTGGAGCTTTGTAAACAGAACATATGTGAAATTCACCATAAGAAACAGCTACCAAACAACACAAAGCTATTTCCTCAAAATCACTTTTTAAAACCAGACTACTTTAAATTCTTATATGATCAAAGCATCCGTGTATTGAAAATAAATATCACTGAAACATTTACAATCTGTCAGGAGAAATCATAGAATGGCTTGGCCAGGAGGGTCCTTAAAGCTCATCTAGTTCCAGCTGCCATGGGTGGGGATGCCACCCACTAAATCAGGTTGCTTAGGGTCGCACCCAGCCTGGCCTTGAGCACCTCCAGGGATGGAGCACCCGCAGCCTCTCTGGGCAGCCTGTGCCAGGGCCTCACCACCCTCTGAGTGAAGAATGCTGAGTGATGCTCCAGAAGCAGTAGCTTTTAGCTCGTATGACCTACATTAAAAAAAAAACAAACAACATACCGCGGGGATGACCTGCAGGGCATACGTGTTGCCACGCACCACCCTCGGGTCGTGCATGAGGTTGGCATAGCGGACGGGCTCCTTCTCCCTGCAGCAAGGACAACACCTGCGGTTACAGAGGCGCACCCGGGGGTGGGGGAGCTCCGAGATGCCGAAAAACCTCGTCTCCCCGCGGGCAGGGGCCGAGCAGCCCGCTGGCACTCACTGCGGGGCGGCCTCGGGCGGCGGCCGGTACTTGTTGCGGGCGGGCAGGGCGCGGGGCGGGCTGCAGTAGCAGTAGGGGATGGCGGCCGGGGCCGCAGCCCCCCGGCGCGGGGCGGGCAGCATGGCGGGCAGCCGTCAGCCTCAAGCCTCGCCCCAACGCAACCGTCTCCAAGGCAGCGGCCCCGAGCCGCCCCTAGCGGCCTCAGGGCTGAGGGAGGGCCGCGGAAATGGCTCAAATTTCGGGGTGTTAGGGCGGGTTTTTGGCAGTGCGGAGCTGAAGCGCCGGGCGGCGCTGTGGGTCCTCTGTCTGTGGGCGAGCTGCTGAGGGGGTGGGAGGTGGCGATATAAAGCTTTGATAACTTTGCTGAGTGTGTGAAATACCCATGGCCTTTGTTTCAGAAATCTTTGGTTCAAACGTAACTCACTGATGAAAAGCTATTTACGTTATCTCAGTTATGTTACTATGGCAGGGATCTGTGCTGCAATACAACACCCCATGGACAGTCACAGATGAGGACTCCGAGTAGCAGAGAGCAGCACTTCACAGGAAGCCTGCAAGGCACGAGGGAAGAAGCTGTGTAGTAAGAGAGCCATGTAGAAAATAAATGTATAAGCAGATAAATAAAAACTACCACAAGCAAAGGCAAAGTGTGGGAGGCAAGGGAAAAGAGGAAGGAATGGTTTCATAATTAGTTAACGGGCAGCTGGCAGTCAGTGCAGGAACAGGAGTCGTGTAAACTGCATGGCTAACAGCGGGGTGGTGGGACAAGAAGATAGGAGGCTGCAGGAACACAGTGCAAGTGTCAAGCAGGCATTGCAGAACCATAAAGCAATCCAGACTGAAAGGGACTCTGGAGGTCTCTAGTGTAAGCCCCTCGCCTAAGCAGGAACAAATTCAAAGGTAGATCAGATTGTTCAGGGCCTTATCCTGCCAAATTTTGCAAATCTTCAGGGTTAGAAGTGCTTGGGGTGGCACTGAAAATCCTGGAAGGCATCGTGCTGCTGCTAAGCAATGTCCTGAGATGTCTGACAGAAACATAAAAACACAGTATAAGCATGGGAAGCCATCGGTGTGACTGCAAAGATGAAAGAATCACAGAGCCCAGATGAGGGCATGTGTATTGTTTGCCCCAATGCTTTTGGATGTCGATTACTAGAAGTGCACAGAAACCTGCGTTTGTCTTGTTGCAATGACACGATCAAAGGGAATCAGCAATACTGCTCCAGTATCATACGCTCAGTAACTGTCAGCCCTCAGATGTCATCTTTGCTGCTGTTTCTAGGCACTGGGTTTAATGTGTGTGTGATACACAGCCACTACGTACACATAGGCCTAGCCCTAACTGAGGCACTTAGTTTTAAAAAATATGTGCAAGCTTGCAAATTTGGACAAATGAGAGGCATAGAAGAAAAAAAAAAAAAAAAAAAAAAAGCCACCATCCTACCTGCATTAAACAACTCGAGTCCCAGTGGTGAGATTACTGGTTTTTTTTTTGTTTTTTTTTTTTTTGTTTTTTTTTCAGTCGGGTTGCAAATCTTGATCTGCAATTGTTGATAGGAAAAAAGTGCAGATCCTATCACTCATGTCTTCAAGCCAAAATAGTTGAACTTCCTTGTCTCTGTAACATTACAGCTTTATCTTAACCCCAGTACTGATGGGGCTGGGCAGGGCTGTGAAATTCCCGTTCTGAAAGCCTTCATTTCTCCAAGACTAGGCAAAGCCAGTATTTTATTACTGATGATTTCAAGACACCATTATCAATTTTGCTTTCCCCTACCACTTGACCTCTAACTGAGCACCATTTTCCCTCAATTTTCCCCACAAGTATGCCTTTCAGTATGACAAACTTGCTTAAAAGACTTGCATCCTTGCCCTATTCCACCCTGGGACTTCATACACAGTGACTAGGAAGAATTAAGGAGGAGTGAGAAAGCATTTTAGAGGGTGGAGTGGCGCACACTTAATTTTAAACTATCATTCATTAAACCGCTAATTGGAAAATCAATTGTTGGTGACCTTCCTATTTAAACGCGAGTCAATCATGCACCATTACCCCCTCTCTAGCCTCTTTGAACCCTCCTTGAACAAGGCACTCCAAGTTGTCTTCCTTTTGCCCAGAAAGCTCTGCTTTAATTTCCATCTCCCTGTGTTGTGAGTAGTTGTGGGTAGTTGTTCAACTACACTGAACCTGCAGAAGACTGATCTGCTTCTGTTGCCCCATCACTGCATCATCTGTGTTTTTCCCTCTGGAAATAAATTGCCCTTGGGAGACAGAGCAGTACTATTTTGCTTTACTGGGGTTAAACTGCACACTCCAAGAGAGTGCAGGAGGCATGTGGAAAATGTAGACCCTGATATCAAATAATTGAACAACAAGTCTCCAGCCTTTATCTCAAGACCAACATTCCCAATCACTTAAAAAGTGACTGCTCTTCTCATTCACACACCCAAAAACTTCTCAAGTGCTGTGTTTTCTGGTGTCTGTAGCTCATAGGAGCTACTTTTATGCAAATTGAAAATATGCATTTGTATACCTTGTCGTGTAACGTTAAGTACTCCTCTGAGTGCAGGGCTTTGCAAAATTTTTGAATGACATTGTGGTTACTTTCTCACCTCGTAGCTGTTTGCGCTGAAGGGAACTGGTTGGTGAATCGCATGCAAAGCTCTCCAGCTGCACTTGAATGAAGTTACAGCTTTATGACAGTGTAGTGGGTTTACACGGCAAGTGTCTGTTAGCAGGGGGCTGCAGGGGTGTCTCCTGTGAGAAGAATCCAGAAGCTGCCCCATGTTAGATAAGGGCCAGTTTCAGACGGCTCCAAAGGGACCCACTGCTGCCCAGAGCTGAGCTAATAAGTGATGTTGTTTGTGTCTCTGTGAGAGGATATCTGAGACGGGGTAAAAACTGCTGCACAACAACAGCTGGAAGAGCAAGGAGTGAGAACAGGTGGATGTGGCCTGGAGGAGGCTGCGGCCCATGGAGAGCCCCCGCAGGAGCAGGCCCCGGGCCGCAGCTGCAGCCCATGGAGAGGAGCCCACGCAGGAGCAGGGGGTCTGGGGGGAGCTGCTGCCCACCCGTGGGGGACCCGTGCTGGAGCAGTTTGCTCCTGGGGGATGGATGGACCCCGTGGGACGGAGCCGTGTGGGAGCAGTGCTTGAGGAGCTGCTGCCTGTGGGCAGACCCGCAGGCTCAGTTGGAGAAGGACGGCATCCCATGGGAGGGACCCTGCGTGGAGCAGGGGCAGAGTGACCGTGAGGGAGTGGTGGAGGTGAAGCGTCAAGGACTGACCGCAGTCCCCATTCCCCTGATCCCATGTGCCACCTGGGGGGAGGACATAGAAGAGGGTGGATGAGGGGGTGTTTTTAGTTTCTTTCCTTTGTTTCTCACTTCTCTAGCTTGTTAGTAATAGGCAATAAACTTTGCAAATCTCCCTGTGCTGAGTCTGTTTTGCCCATTACAATAGATGCTGAGTGATCTCCCTGTCTTTATCTCAACCCTTGAGACCTTTTCATTAGATTTTCTCCCCTTTCCCTTTGAGGAGAGGGAGTGAGAGAGTGGTTGCGGTGGAGCTCAGATGCCCACCTGAGTAAAACCACCACAGACAGCAAGACAGAATTCACACCTGGAGGAGAAAGGGGAAAGGTGAGTGAAGAAACCTCTTCTTCAGTGGATGGAGGAACATACAGGCCTGTTCCCTGTGTATGATGAGGTTGAATTGCATGGCCCAAGACTGTGCAGGAAGCATGAGGAAAAGAAGGCAAATCTCTCATCTTTATCACAGGATTATCCTCTCTGATCACCTGGGTTCTGATTGGGCTTGGCCTTAAAATTAAATAAAGTAAAACCTAAAAAATAGTGGTTTATAATTTTAAACTTGACCTGTGCAATACTAAAGGTGCAGGGCTGGGATTTGGTCTGTAGCATCTGTCAAGGAAGTTGGTGAGAGGTTTGTGGGTTGTAGGAAGGAAGAGTTTCAAGCAGCCGTTGGATCAGTTCTGTAAAAAGCTGTTTGGCTAAAGAGCAAGTTTTGTTTAGAAAGTGTCAGGTCTTTCATAGAAACCTTTTCTTATTATTACCCAGCGGAGGAAGCAGACCTCAACGAGTCAAACCCCGTTCAGGATTTGTGAGCTGTTTTTTCAAATTCACATGCCAGCACCTCAGGTTAGAAGCAGAAAATGGTCTCTGATCTCCTCTCCCCTTGCAGAAGTTTCACTCAGAAGTGAGATTTAAATTTGTATTTTTATCACATCAAATGAAAGAGGTTGATTTAGAATGATAAGTGACACATTTTACAGAAAAAAAAAATGACAAGATAATTAGCATTTCTAAGTATCAAAGAGACAAAAAAAAAATGAAAAAAAAAAATAAAAGAGACTTGCGGTCTCTATATACATGAGAGTCAGCTGCACATATGAAGATTGTATCATTTCTTCAGCAGTGGATGCCCTTCTTCCCTGGATTTTTTTCTGTTATCATTAGACTTTTATTATTAGTTGCCCTTTTTCCCTGGATTTTTCTTTCTTTTATCATTAGACCATTTGAAAAAGTTGCTTCCCCTTGTGAATTTTTAGCCTTCAGAAGTTCCTCTAAAGTTTTCACTCATTGTTCTGATGACACACATGATAAGAACTGACTGGTAAGAAAATTCAGAGAAAAATGTAACCAGAGCGCCTAACCAAGGTGGGTTTCCTTTTCCTGTAGTCAGAAATTGTCCTTGTGGAGACACATGATAGTCGCAGTAACTGTGATCTGGCTAAAGCTAGCAGTTTAACAGCACGTTATAATCACCTGAATTTTGCAGTTGGATGTGATCAGTTCTGGATATAAAACACTTGCTGGGTCACACAGTTGACCAAGCAAACTTCACAGCTAACTTGGTCAATCTCATGGCTGAGTTTCCAAGTTAGATTGATGAATGAGTTTCTGTGGTACTTTCCATCTGAGACAAACATATTCTTCTTTACAGAGGGAATTTGACCAAAAAAGCAGCTTTTCATGTCTTCTGCATGCAACTCTTACTGCCCCCTGAGTCGGCAAAGCAATGGAGATGCAGGACTGCTGTCTGGAACATGTTGTAGTAGGGAGGTGAAATAACTCGTGCACATTATTGAAAACATGACTTGCATTGAACAAAAATGCAGAACTGTAAGAATGACACCTGAAAACACCCTCTTTTCCTGAGAGAGGGAATAAATTAATGGATTTCAGGGAAGAAAGATCCTGTTA